AACCGCCTTTTAGAACAATCTAAGCTTGTGGGGAGCTAGTGTAAGTACACAAATAGTGGAGGCAGAAACATTAAAACACAAAATTTAACATAAACACCACCTTATTTGAGATCTCCCATCTGCTAAAACTTTAGATGCATAACCATACACCACTGTCAATTAGTTAACAACATAGAGCCATTTAGAATTGCAAAGAATTTTTCCTAACTGTATGCTCTCTTTAATTTTAAATTCATAATTTTTTTTAATCAAATGAGATATTAGGCCATCTCCAACCGTTCACCAAATCCAACATCAAATTCAAATTTGATGAAAAAAAGCTGCTTTTTGTGCTCTAACGGTTGCACCAAAACAGTATCAAATTGAGAAAACATCAAATGTTTCACCAAACTGAGGACGGCTTGCTCCTTTCACCAATTCACTGTGCAGAGCCGTTAAAGCAGAAATTTATGAAAATTTTACACTACGGGGTCGACACCCGGTTGACCCCCTGGTCGACCACCTTAGTATTGTTTCAAGCAACAGAAATGAAGGCAAAAACCGAAAATTTGCTCTTACCGGTTGACCGATTGGTCGACCCCCCGGACGACCCTCTCTGTTTGATGCACGCTACAGTGAACGGTTGGAGCTATTGGTATCAGAATGAGAAAATTGGCTTTTTTTTTATTCAAATTTGGTGAAAATTTTGTTCAACCGTTGGAGATGCTCTTAGTAGACTTCGGACGGAATATTTAACCAAACAGACTATTGAACAGTTGTAGTTTACTGAATTCTAAACAATCTCTGGCACTGAAATTCATTTCTTCCAATTCTCTTTTTTACTTGCAAATTAAGAAGGGTTAGTTCAACAGATATCCATTGGGACCCAACTGTAAATTCTGCAGGTTTTATAAGACACAGAAAAATGTATCCTTGAGCTTTCTTCTCTTTTCCTCCCTTCAAAAAATTAATACTGGTTTTTGATTGTCAGAAGAAGAAGAAGAAAAAAAGAGCAGTAAAAATAAATCAAAGTAGGCATGGCAAAAAAAAAAAAAAAAAACTCCCACCACTCTGATTTCTGTGTCCCTATTAATTGTTGACTAGACCTACATTCTCAATTAATTATTGCCAAAAACAAAAACAAAAAAAACAAAGCTTTTTTTAGGCAGTTTATGGGTAGACAATCATATCCTGAAAATTAGATAGCCAACTTAATCTCCAATATGCAATGCTGAAAGACCACTCTTTCTAATCAATAAGTACCAAATCTAAACAGTAAAGGCTACCATAGTAATGGCATCATTCATCACAAGCATACATAAGTGTGGGGGAGAGAGAGTAATAATAATAAGGTTAAATTACAGATACATTTGTGAGGTTTGCTTAAAGTATAAATTATTCTCTGTTTAAAAAATTATAAATATTCCCTTGTCAAAAAATTTTATTTAACAAAATTAATTAAAAAAATAAAATTCATAATTGATCTCCTAGATAATAATAAAATTATCTAAATTGTTAATTGAAACATATTTCTAACATCATTAAAAATTGTAAATTAATTTGATGATTTATTAATAAAATGGGCAATTTGTTATGAAATTAGAAACCTCAGGGGTGGAATGTAATTTTCAGAACTACCGGGGACAATTTGTATTTTAATCAAACCTTAGGGGTGTATTTGTAACTTACCCAGTTAATAAGATAAAATGTCATATTTAAATCATAATCATTTTTTTTTTCTCTCAAAAAAAATCAAAAAATTCTTCTCAAACAGAGTCAAATTAGTCCAAAAAAAAAAAAAAACTAAAAGATCAGGCTAAAAAAATTCCACCCAAACGAACCCAAGAAAAGAATCCAAAAGCAAGCAAAGAAATCCGTAATCATAGACATCACAATTTCAAGTCACATGAAACAAAAAATTATTGAAGACCAAAACAAATCAAACTGGGAAAATGCTGGTCAAATCCAATCCAACCCATGAAAATTTTATCAAACAAAGGTCCGAATTGAATTACAATAAAGTAGAGAACAATTAAGCATGCCAATATCAAATCATGCCTATCTAAGAGCACATAATTAGATTTAGGAAAAATGCTTCAAATCTCAACCGTAATGCTTCAAACAAGCCTACAGAAATTGTCATAATTTAAAACTCATTAAAAAAAATTCTTAGTAATGAAATGATTTTATGATTCAACTCAAACCACACACACATAGAGAGAGAACAACATGTTTATTAGTGATCTTAGGTCATGTTCACTTCCCTCCATAGGATGGAGCCAATTAAAAGTACGGTAGAATTGAATGAGAAAATTATTAATATGGTAATATTAGTTAGAAATGTATAATAAAAAGGATTTGTTTGTATACTATTGAATTAGTAATACTATATGTAGTATTAATATATAAAATTTAATATTTTTGAATTTTTATTATGTTTTTTAATATTATAATTTTTTTTTTGTTCTAAAAATATATTTTTTATTATAAAATTATCTAAAAATTTACTAATTTCCTTACTCAATTTCTAATCTCAACCTTTCATGGCTTTGTTAGTCCTACCATATAGGGGGATTACTAATTCAAGCGGATAGTTAATCCCCTGACTCATGTCACTAACTAAACACTCTTTAGTGGGTCTCACGGACTATTAGTCCAATTTCTCTTCTCAAAGAGTCACACATGGCCTTAGGGTTTTGTTGGGCACTAAGACCATCCAAGGGTGAATAAAAAAATTTATTAAATTTGAGTAAAATTTTGATGAAATATTTGATTTGATTTCGTTTATTCCAATGTTAAAATTGGAATTTTTATCAGATTTTTTCACATCCTCGGTTGTCCAAGAGGACGTCTAGGTGGATGTCTTGAAGATCATTTGAACATGAGTAAAAAAATTGTCAAAATTGCTCTTCCGGCCCAGCGGTAAATTTAAATTTGATGAAAAATAAAATGCTCCCTTCATTTGATAACAACTTTAATTTTGCCACTATTTGATATGAATTTAATAAAAGGGTTATAGCATCACATTTGAAATTTTTCATCAAATTGCCAATTTGATGAATTGGAGATGCTCTAATTAATTCCACTATTATAAAAAATTAAAAGAATACAATAATTATCTGATTGTAAAAAATTAAGCTGGCCAAAATATCTTTATTTATTTTTTTATTTTTATTTTTATTTTTATTTTGTCTCTTTTATTTTTGCTTTTCATTTCTCACCATTTTAAAACTAACTCACTCCACATGTTTATTGAAATATCATGTTGTCAAAAAGTATATATATTTATTAATATAATAATATTGGTATAATATTTTGTGGTAAAAAAAATAATAATAATATTTATTGATATACATATATACACGTGTATGGTTGTAATATGCCAAAGGCATGAGTGGGACGGTGGGCATGGGTGGGACAAAAATAATATATGTACATATATATACATATTAAAATAGAATATTAAAAAAAAAGGATAATTTAGTCCTTAACTTGCATTTACTATTTTCCATGATAATGGACTTAGTTAAATCTAATTTTTGCATTCTTAACAAAAACTCATCTTAATATTTATAATTTTCTTTATATTTATAAATTTTAAAAATATTGTATCATATTTCCTCGTTTGTATTTGTTTTTATTTTAGAAATATTTAAGTTAATTTTAGACTTTGAAAAATGCTTGAGACACTTTTAACACCCCTAATGATGTATTTGATAAGTGTCAAATTTTGATTTATCAAATATTTTATCATATGGAATCTAATTTCAATGTTACATCATTAGGGGTGATTAGGAGTGATAAATTAGGAGATATAGCATTATTGTTATACTTTTTGACATAATTACATTAATTTTCTTTTGTGATATCAGTTATGACTTACTTATAACTCATTGTGATATTGACTATGACCTATTATATTTATTATTTTGGTTATGGTCGAAAGGGCTTTAGTTATACCTTATTGACTATGACTCATTATTTTTTTTTAGTTATGACAATTATGATAATTAACACCTCATTATTTTTTTTTAGTTATGACAATTATGATAATTAACACCTCATATAGCATAATTTGCATATTGTACACATTCCTACATTTCTTTACATTTCAAAATTCCTACTCAATTTCTTAATGTAAATAAATAAAAAAACTAAAAATAAATAAATAAATTACAAATACACTCACTGACATTTATTTAAAATATAAATTGCCTTTGTAATTTAAGAAATCACATCTCGCCCCGTAAAGTTACTAAATTTAAAACAAATTATCCATTTTATTAATAAATAATCAAGTCAATTAACAATTTTTAATAATGTCATAAATATATATTAATTGATAATTTAAGTAATTTTATTATTATATAAAAGAACAGTTAGAAATTTTATTTTTTTAATTAATTCTATTAAATAAAAATTTTTGACAATAAGATATTTATAATTTTTTAAATCACATGAAATAATTCGTATTTTGAACAAATTTTAAATAATATATTTGTAATTTACCAAAAAAAATAAAACGCAATGAGTAAATTTGACAAAGTTTAGATAGGATGTCATAAGATGTTATGATGATGATGCAACGACATGAAGGAAAGGGGCAATGAAGTCATTTTGAGACGGCCGAAATTTTCATCCAGCTCCATCCATCCTTTATATATAGGAAATTTATTTTCGAAGGCGAATTAGGATCATCCTCAGAAAAGCGCAAGATATATGCCGTATTACTCCATTCCCCATTTTTGAAGAGGCAATAACAAGGGGGAGAACAAGAGAACCTCAAAAGATTGGCCAACTAAGTGCACCTTGAGGCGTGAGAATATGCTCCCTCTAAAATTCAAGTTCAACTCTCATTAGGTATTATCAATTCCTGAAGATCACGCCTCCATATTCTACTTGAAATTTGTCCGATCCACATAGAAGGAGCGCTTTGCATAAGTTCTGAAAGTAGTTGAAGTGTGCGTAAACTAACTAGGACCCTAATCATCACCCAAAACAAAAACAAAAAAAGCATAGGGTTGTCCAAAATCCTTGCATGAAGCATTACTCATTTATAGTCAGACTTGAATTATTATCACATGAAAATAGTAGTAATACTTTTTTAATCTTTCACAGAGAGACACTGGAACATGATTGCTCAAACAAAGCTCAGTATAATCCCTACAACATTATTCATATCTAATCGTGTTTTCTTTTCCCGCACAACGCCTTTTACAATCTAACAATCTTTTTCTATTATAGAGGCAGACAATTGCATTGGCTGTGTAACCAAGCCACTACAACATTTGGCCCTAAAAGAACCACCCGAAAAGGGCATGATGAGAGTGAACTTTGGGGAACCGACGAGTCATTCATGACAAATATAAATCTCAATATATTACCAATTTAAGCCATTATCTGCCATATTTTCGCCTGTTGCAGGCTGGTATTTGCTCCGGAACTCAAATGCTATCGCCAACCTCAGCCTTACAGAGTGGGCACAACGCATTGATCTTCAGCCACTTGTCGACACACTCCTTGTGGAAGAAATGGGAACATGGCAACTCCCTGAGCTCGTCATTGTTTGCATACTTCGCCAAGCAAATGCAGCAAACCTGTAAACAAAATAGAATAATAACCAGTCATTTGGGAACCTAGCCATTTAAGGGTATATCAGGGATCCAGTGTCCCAAGAAGATGTTCAACAACAGCAACAAAAACTAATAATAATAATATTATGGCTTGGTTTGGTGTAACTTAGAGAGCTTGCTTATAACTTAATTTTTAGACAACTTGTGTAGGATTGTTTGATGTAATTTATGTTTACAGCTTATGAGGTAAAATAAAAAATTAAAAAAAAATCAAAACCAAACCAAGCCTTAAGTCTTATCAAATGGAGTCGGTTACATGAAACTTTCTTCTCCACTCGACTTTATCAACGGCCATTGAGTTAGTCAAATTAAGAAGATTCATATCTCTATTTACTACACTAACCCACATCAATCTAAACATGCCCCTTCTCCTAACACTTCCATCTACCGTCACTATATCGCATCTCTTCACCACTGTCTCTGTTGGTCTCCGTTGTATGTAATCAAACCATCTTAATCTATTCTCTCTTAACTTATCTTCTATCGGTACTACTCTTGCCCATTCGCGAATATACCCATTCCTTCTTTTCTAGTCTTGCCACACATCTACCTTATTAGTATCCTCATTTCAGTAACACTCATCCTATCTACGTGTTGTTTCTTAATTGCCCAACATTCCGTCTCATACAATATTACTGGGTCTAATCGCCGTTCTATAGAACTTTTCTTTTAGTCTAGTAGGTACTCATTTATCACACAGTACCCTAGACGCACTCCTTTACTTAAACTACCCAGTCTTAATTTTATGGATCACATCCGCTCCAATCTCCCCAGCCATTATGATAATCAATCCTAAATAACGAAAATGTTCACTCTTAGGTGGTTCTTGATTCTCAATCTTCACTTCTCCTCCACTTCCATTGTTCCTGTTACTAAAATTATACTCCATATATTTTGTTTTAGTTCTACTTATCCTAAATCCTTTAGATTCAATTACTTTTCTCCAAGAATCCAACTTAGTGTTAACTCCTCTAGTCTCATCCACTAACACAATATCATCTGCAAAAAACATATACTATGACATATCATCCTGAATATTTCTTATCAACTCATCCATAACTAAAGCAAAAGATAAGAACTTAAGGTTGATCCTTAGTGTAACCCTACAGTAATTGAAAATTCACTTGTCTCTCCAACAGGAGATCTAATAGTGATTACTACACCTTCATACATGTCCTAATCACATCAATGTAACCTTTTGCCACCCCTTTTTTTTTTTCTAACACCCACCAAATTATATCTCGAAACACTCTATCATATGCTTTTTCAAAATTGATAAAAACCATATGAAGTAAAATAATAAGCTGGAAAAAAAATTATTATTGGAAAGCTGAGAAGAGGGGTGCTTTTAACTTTTACTTTCTGATTATTAGCTTTCAGCTTGCAAGAAGTAGCACCGAACAGGCCCTCTAATCTCTTTTAACATTTATGGCTCAACAAATTAATCAAGGTCCCATATTTATATATATAAACGCAATCAAGGTCTGCTTTTATGAAACCTCATTGACCCATCATTAATATTACTGGTAAAATGTGATGTCAAGCAAAGCTTTATATAATCTAAGTAATCTGTTGAATTCAAAAGGGAAAATATGTAATGATCCCCAAAAAATTGTGTGTGTTGATACCATTAGGCCATTAAGTATGGAAATGGAAATTTTGAAATTTTCATCGGAGTCCAATACATTCAGAGGTTTCTCACACGAAAATACATAGGCCAAAATGAACCTTCTACAGAATTTCCAATAATTTGAATACACCTCACAAGTCAGTATCTTATTTTGGCTTTGGCTTAAATCAAAATCCAAATTCCTAATCTGTCTTTGATCTGGACCATAGTTATGACTACCCAGTTTAACTCTCTCATTCACATAAGAGACCTTCCAAAAGCATGATAGATCACATCAACAACCCATGCACATGATTTGCAGAAACCATAGAATCAACAGCTACTCCTACAAATCATATTTTATAACCAAGGCATAAAGTCGTAGCCATAATCATCTGCATGTTCTCGACTCCAGCTACTAGTTGGCTGACATCAGATTATATGCACACTTCAATAGTTAGATCATGAGTAAGCGAGAACTCTTCATCTATGATAAAATACTAGTTATGCAACACTTCCGTCATCCTTATCTGAAACTACTACAACTTTTTTTTCTTTTTCTTTTTCTTTTTCTAATTTCTCTACGATTTTGTACAAAAAGGAAAAGAGCCCAGACATTCCCAGGTACGAATCTTTCCAACAAGCTGCATCAAAAGTACGAAGGTTCATGTTTAAATTTCACCAAGATGTCAATGTTGCTAGTATCTTATGATTCACAACATGGATCTTACAATTCGATACTTTTTAGACAGAAATCAATATTATCATCAATACTTAAATTAGATGTATATCATACATTACATTTACGATGTACAATATGTGATACATGATGCGATACATATGTTACATGAATACATAAATTTCTTCAGTAATTTTGACCCCCAAAAAAATTTGAAGTTATTTTATGTAAATTAATATTGCCAGAAAGTTTCATTAACTTACTGAAAATGAGTAATTTTTAAATGAAAAGTATTTTTATTTTATTTGTGTCTATCTTTTTGACAAATATCTGCGTATATGGTATTAAATATCTTGTGCCATTGATGTATGCCTACTTACAAGGTTAGAGTTTAAAGTTTTCTACTATAGACAAGTTATTTGAGAACTTAAAAGTTGTAAATAAAATATTAAAACTTTGTGAGTGAAGACAATATGTAACATATAGTAATAGTACACAATACCAAGTGAGAGGGTTTGTGAGTGAAGACAATATGTAACATATAGTAATAGTACACAATACCAAGTGAGAGGGTAATTTGTGTAGCCAAATTGGACCGAGCTAGGAAGCGCTGTTTTTTAATATTGGGCAGGGGCAGCGTTGTGGGCTAAGTTACGAGCTTAGGATAGCTCGGTGTGGGAACAATGGTTGACAAGCCAGTCGGTGAGTTTCAAATGCGGTTAGTAGGCGAGCCGAAGTGCTATGTCGGCCATATAAAGGAAGCCGAGCTAGAGGTAGCCCGGCGAGAGGGTTCAAAGCAATTGGTGATTGTGCGGCCCGGTCAAAGTATTTGCACTAGATAGCTCGGCTAGGCATAGTGAACCAAGTTAGAGTTAACTATCTCACTTGGTTTGCAGTGAGGAGAGTGCTCTAAGGATAAACATTGTCCTTAGAGATAGGACTCCTAGGAGGACTCTCTGCTAAGAAGAGAGTCCTATTAGAATTGTGCCTGACGAAATCTATAAAAACTCAGGACAGAACCTATAAACAAGGATTGCAGTTCTTATTTTCAAATAAATAGAGCTTATTGTCTATTGTCTATTGTCTACTGGCTGACTTAGGCATCGGAGGGGTTTCTGACACAAAACCGCCGGCTAGCTCATATGTATTTTCAGGAAATAAAGCGACGATGTTTAGAGGAGTGCAAACTTGGTCAAAAAGATTATATGAGAAGATTATTTCATGCTCGTACAATTGGCGCTGTCTGTGGGAACTTATTACAAAGAACAAACCTTTTGATTAAAGTTTTCCTTCAACTGATTTCAATGGCGCACAACGAAGACTTGCCTCAGTCTGTTATCAATGGACAAACTCCAGAAGAGGATAGGAGGAGCGAGGATTTGCATTTTGTCCCGCCCATGGCAGACTTAGACCCCAGCGACGGAACCCACAAAGGGGCGTACGAGAAAAACGAGGCTCAAGTCCTTGGCGCTCTCACAGCCCAGATGGACAAAGGCAGAGGATGGATTCTCAGGTTCTAGAGGATCGTGTAAAGGAACAAGACGAGTTGATCAAGAGAATGGCGGCTGACATGGAGACCATGAACCACCAGATGAAAGGCAAAGGCGTGGCAGGGGAAGAGATCTAAGAGGGCAGAACGTGTTCTCGCCACTCAAGAGATCGCGACAGGCGAGTCACACCGTCGCAATCTGAAAGCAGAAGCCTCAAAATAGGCGACACACAATCAAAAACCTCAAAGACTCGTTACTCCAGGTCTGAGAGAACGAGGACTGAAAGGTCTTACACGGAGGGAAGCAATTATCGACCTTCACATACGCATCAAACCATTTCTCAGCACAGCGAGTTGCCTACGTCGGTGTACCTGCGAACCATGCTAGAAGAAAGGGGCTCGAAGGAAAGAAGACACCCAAGCGCGCAACCCCCAAAGGGTCTCTACTATGCAGTGATTGGCTCCTAGGACACATGGAAGTGTCGAGGTTGGAGTGCCAATGCCGCGCCTTGCTTGCGAACCAACAGATAAAGCATTAGCAAGATTGCAAAGCTTGCCGTTCGTTCCGGCGAGAGAGAATGCACCATTACCCTTGGGCTTCAACCCGCCTAAGTTCACAACCTATGAGAGGAAGTCAAATCCCTACTACATGCACCTGAGCCACTTTCACCAAGTTATGGCCATACATTGACGAAACGAGACTCTAATGTGTATCTTGTTTCCATCAAGCTTGGGCAACCTGGGCTTGACTTGGTTTGAGAGGTGGCCAGAAGGTAACATTGCTTCATGGGCACAACTAGCGGAGACGTTTGTCACTAGGTTTAAGACAAACATCAAGACCCCCATCGAGATAGACCAATTGCTCGCCATTGGCATGGGCGAGAAAGAATCGTTGAAGGCCTACAACAACAGATATTGGAAGATCTTCAATCAGATAGGCGACTATCCTACCAACCTAGCTATTGCACAGTACAAACAGGGAGTTAAAGGATTCAATGACAATGACGCCACCCCTCACGATGGAAGCCTTGATGGAGATAGTACACCAGCACATCAAGGTAGACAAAGATGGCGCTCGTGCCAAGGCAAAGTCCAGCACAATAGCGACGTTGGACAAGAAGCCTACGACAAAAGTTAACATGGTCTACAAGAAGAACCGACCGGGCAAAAATCTTTGCCCAACTGGGGGCAAAGTGGATTGGTAGGTTTGATCAACTCTTTCTAACAAATCTCTGCACGACTGAGGGCAAAGTGGGTTGACAGGTTTGACCAATAATTTTTTGAACTCTTTAACCAAGATGGTTATCTCGGCCAAAGTAGGTTGGCAAGCTTGACCAACAATTTTTTTACATTCTTTGACCGAGATGACAGTTATCTCGGCCAAAGCAGGTTAGCAGGTTTAACCAACAAATTTTTTACACTCTTTGATTGAGATGGTTATCTCGGCCAAAGCAGGTTGGCAGGTTTGACCAACAATTTTTTACACTCTGACTAAGATGATAGTTATTTCGGCCAAGGAAGATTGGCAGGTTTGACCAATAATTTTTTGCACTATTTGACCGAAATTACAGTTATTTCGGCCAAAGCAGGTTGGCAGGTTTGACAAACAAATTTTTTGCACTCTTTAACTAAGATGACAGTTATCTCAGCCAAAGCAGGTTGCCAGGTTTGACCAACAATTTTTTGAACTCTTTGACCGAGATAACAGTTATCTTGGCCAAAGAAGGTTGGCAGGCTTGACCAACAAATGTTTTGCACCCTTTGACCGAGATGATTATTATCTCGGCCAAAGCAAGTTGGTAGGTTTGACCAACACTTTTTTAAACTCTTGGACTGAGATGGTTATCTCGGCCAAAGAAGGTTGGCAGGATTAATGTAACCGAGTTAGTCGACTTGGCGAGGCACAGAAAGAATGACTTGTCATACGATTGCAAACTCAAAGGATATATACGATGAAGGCAAAAAGGCGGGACTGTACAAATTTTTGAAAGGTGCATGACGACTGCAACAAGAGAATGGGGCTAATAGGGGCACGACACGTGTCCTAGGAATGACGTCGTGTCTTGACATGCCAAAGTAGTGAAAGGACGTGCTAAGCAACTGACAAGGCTTGTTGGGGCTGAATGAGTTGTGAGACCGAACAAATTTTCTAGCTCGGTAGAGTTGAGCGTTCTTAGCTCGGCTGGAAAAAAGTAATCCCAATCATGCTTCACACATGGAATTAAAAGACAATTGAGAGGGTAATTTGTGTAGCCAAATTGGGCCAAGCTAGGTAGCGTTGTTTTTTAATATTGGGCCGCGTTGTGGGCCAAGTTATGAGCTCAGGATAGCTCGGTGTGGGAACAATGGTTGACAGGCCGGTCGGTGAGTTCCAGATACGGTCAGTAGGCGAGCCGAAGTGCTACATCGGCCTCATAAAGGAAGCCGAGCTAGAGTTAGCCTGGCGAGGGGATTCAAAGCAATTAGTGATTGTGCGGCCCGGTCAAAGTATTTGCACCAAATAGCTCGGCTAGGCGTAGTGAGCCAAGTTAGAGTTAATCATCTCACTTGGTTTGCAGTGAGGAATGTGCTCTAAGGATAAGCATTATCCTTAGATATGGGACTCCTAGGAAGACTGCTAAGGAGAGTTAGAGTCCTATTAGGATTGTGTCTAGTGGAATCTATAAAAGCTCAGGACAGAACCTATGAACAGGGATTGCAATTCTTATTCTCAAATAAATAGGGCTTATTGTTTATTGTCTACTGGCTGACTTAGGCATCGGAGGGGTTTCTGGTACACACCTGCCGGCTAGCTCACGTTTGTTTTCAAGTAGCAAAGCGACAACGTTTGAAAGAGCGCAAACTTGGTCAACAGGATTATACGAAAAGATTATCTCGTGCTCATACGCCAAGAATGATAATTGAGAGTAAATTTGATTCGAGCATTTAACAATGTACTTAAATGCTATATTTTTTTTGTTATACATATTTTAACTTCGCTCTTCATTTTATATGCATTAAGTATTGATGCATGCATATCTTTAATTAAGTATTGATGCACCCATATCTTTAATTTAACGTCACTCTTCATTTTAAGGATTATACATCGTGTGTTTAATTCTCACAAGATATTTTTTTCTATAATTATATTTAATTTTCTATCTATTTTAAAAGGTGTTAAAAAATCTTACGATACGATACGCGATTCAAAAACATTAAAAAACAATACACAATTCGTATCCTAATTTGACAACTATGCAAGAAGCAAATAAGTGATCAACCAACACTCCTTCACCTTTTTGACAAAAAAAGAAGAGGACAGTGTCGTTTCAAAAAGCCAAGTGATGCAATATTTAAGAGTGACCAATAAACCCATGAAGTTTAGGGTTGATAGGAAAATTGACTTACTGCATCTTCTCCTGATATCACACGCTCCTTCTCAGTTCCTGCAGCCACGACCCCACCTTCACCTGCACCTGAGTTGATTTCTCTACCATTTCCATTTCTGGTTTTCTTCATCTTAAACTTGTAGGTTGGCAGAGAATTTATTGATTCTGGCGTGGCCCCTCTATTTTGAGTTAGATCCTCTCTGAAGCCCATGACAGAAATTATACAAGGGAAGCAGCAGCAGATTGTGGCACACAGAATAAATGGCATCGCATATCCAATACAGCTAATGGTGAGAAAGACTATACACAGCCTGAAAATTGACAATTCATAAATGGGTTGATCACCCATATTAAAAAGAAAAGTAGGAAACAAAATGCACAAACAGAAAATAAAATATGCTGCAAACATGACTCAACAGTACCAGTACAAGTTGGGAGCCTCAGAGGAAGAAGAGTGCCCTCCAAAAATCCAAACGTTGCCAACCACAAACCACACTGCGAAGAAGCAATCTAAAGCCATCTTGAAGTATTCCACAAGTGCCTTGAGTCTGCAAGGAAAAAACAAGATCGCTTAAGTGTACTTGTCTATACCAGCATTTTCAATTACTATGCATTTTTTTTTAATAATCATTAAAAAATTGACATGTCGCATGATGTGTCCGACACATTAATACGCTTGTCCACACCATTTTGGCGTTCAACACGGACATGACACCCCATTTTTGAGTAGATTGTTATTAAAAGGTTGGTTTCAAACAATTGATTGAAGCATTATGAAGATTAATTGATTAAATTTTAAGAATCTCTCCTTTCTTGTCATGGGTCTAGGTCTCTTAAAAGGGTCAACCCTATAAGAGCCCACCTGGCCCAAGGATCTTATACTCAAGTGGCACCCCTTAACCCTGCTGATGTGGGATTGTGGCATTCTCCCCAACCAATCTCACCACGCCCTAGTCACAAATTGGTTTAGGCCTTGGGTTCAGGGTAGTGGCCACGAAATGAAGAATGGAAAATGGGTAGTTGAACTTGAGAGTAATAGATTTAGGTGGATCAAATTGTCGAACATAAAAAGACATTGTATACTGATGGTTCATTGTGGAAGTGCTTATTTGGCAATACAAGGATGCAAACTCTAGCTTTGGATTCTCTCAATCAAAAGAGATTTCAAACCAATACGAGTGTTTTCAAACCTGTTGCTCAAGAAATAATTTCATATGGAACCCCAATATGCAATAAGTTCACAGCAAGCCAATCTCATTCCTTTCTCCACAACTCACCCTTGCAGACCCAAATCACAAATCATTGGATCATGCTGGAATCCCAAGGCGTGATTCAATGACTGAGAATGCATTGGGACAAAAGAACAAAGAGATTTGGAGACAAAGGATCCAGTGCTCATATATACACACTCGTAAATGAATAAACAGTCCCTACTTTCTAGAACCATAACATCTTCCTCCACAAATAATATTTATATATATGTAACTACATAATAAATGCAAATCCAATATATGGAGAAAACTTGTGTAGATCATTTTAGGTGAAGATTGATTTGGACTTTGGGTTTAGAGTTGTGGTCACAAAATGAAGAATGGAAAATGGGTAGTCTATAGTACTAAGGTGGATGCAAATTGTTGAACCTATAAAGACATTGTATATTGATGGTTTAGCATGGAAGTGCTTGCTGGCAATACTGGATGCAAACCCTGGCTTTGGATTCTCTCAATCAAAAGAGATTTCAAACCAATAGCAAGTGATTTCAAACCTGTTGCTGAAGGATTAATTTCATTTGCAACCCCAATATTCAGTAAGATCGCAACTAGCCAATCTCATTCCTTTCACCACAACTCACCATCACACACTTCCCACCCATGACTTTACCCCATAGGAATGGACGTGTGTAGTGGTGAGTTGTAGAGAAAGGAGCGAGATTGGCTTGCTGTAAACTTATTGAATATTGGACTTCACTTCACAAAAACAACTAATAAATCCATATCCCAATAATTTAAAGCCAGTTACACACATCTTCAATTGCCAAACCCATAATTTGTTTTACATTACAGGCTCACTTTTCTCGTCTCCACCACAATCCATGTCTTTCCCTGTGACTCCCCCTTCCTAAAGGCAACAAAAGTTTCAATGTAAACCATTACTGCATCAGTTAATGTTCCCTGCTATCATACACTATCAAATATCAATATGTACATTTTTCAAGTCTGGCCTCCATGTAAAATCATGGAAAATTGGACAAAACTGTGAGTGGAGGAAATGAAAGAGTCAGGCAATGTACAGCGTTTGTATGCTCTTTATATCATTAGAGTGTGTTTGTATGCTCTTTATATCTGATATTAGAGTGCTTAGACGCTCTGAAAAAAGTACTTCTATTTTTCCTAATTCACCCTGTTACTATAACTACAGCTGTCCAATTCAAAAATACAGCCACAACCCATCAAAGAATCAATCACCTGTTATAGCCAACACAAGTGCAATAACCATAACAAAGAATCCACAAAGAATTTCAATTGCTGAGAAAGAAAGTCGACTAGACCAGCTAACGAGAAAGGCTTCAAAAAGTGGCAAAACCATGCAGCATAAAGACATAACACGGCGGCATGTCCAAGGACAAACAATTCTAGTTTACAGCAAGAATCCATACCTTGGATTTGGCATTCCTACACTTTGAGCACCTCTAGAGGGTGTAACAGTGGGCCGGCCTTCCCCCTCTGAATTCCTTGCAATTGAAAGGGTGGAGAAAGAGGTAGGACGGTTGCTCTGAGTAGACCCTTGACGGGACTGAGATGAATCTTGCTCTGAAGCCTGGTTGCGATAAAGCCAACGCCAATAAAGAAGAGGAAGTGTTGCAACACATCCAGATGCATAACACACAATCCACCCAAACAAAGGAGCGCGTGGATGTTCATGTCTTGACAAAGACAAAACAACAGTGGCTGCAACAATCTGGCTCACAGTTAGAACCAGATCAACAGATATCCATAACCCAGAATTTAGTGGATTCCTACGGCGACGGCCATGCCCATCCCCTCTCCTAATCAACGATGAGTTTCGTGAGTTTGAACCATTAGCAGAAGAAAGTGAATTTTGAAAACCAGAGGCCCTCGTCGTTGCAGAAGACTGGTCTTCACGCTGCAATGAGTCCAAGACATTTGTATCATGGGTTGAACCAGATGAAGAAGCCTCAGTGCTATTTCTTACTTCAATGACATGTTCACGATCGCCAGGGTTTTGTACTTGCTCCATTAACAATGGGGATTTGTCGGTTTCTCTTTTACAAAGTAGTCTTAGAGAGAGAATGGCCATCTAAGTCCAACAAAATAGAAAGTAAAGGACACATGGGATGGTAAAATGAGAAATTCCACCTTCACATCCCACTTCTCTACCAAAGTAATTAAGCAATTGTCTTATGCAGTCTGGCTAAATAACTAGTTCTCATCTGTACAAAAACAAATACAAGAGTATAAGAATCATGCTTTTTTCTTTTCCCTAAACCCTGTCATTTTTTGCTATGAAAATCAAAGAAAATAAAATAAAATCCTAGGGCTGGAACCATTATTTATTTCTATTTTTTTGGGTGACAGCCCATTGTTGTTTTGGTTCCTTTAAAATATATATATATATATATAGTTGTAATAAGAATTAAAACAGATGTTTTCCATCATCTTGTGACTCAAAAATCAGAAACCGGACATTTTTTGCTATGAAAACCAAAGAACATAAAATAAAATCCTAAGGCTGGAATTAAAACAATATATATAGTAGGAATTAAAACACATGTTTTCCCTTATTTTTTGACTCATTAATGAAAAACATCAAATCCAAGCTTTCAATTTATTTAACTTATAAAAAAACTTGGAATTGATTTTCTTTACCTACTTCTTAGCAACCAAACACATAGAATATGATCGAGGAATAAATTTCAACACACATAAATACTAATTTGATCATAAACCCTTTAAACCTGACATTTCCAAACCTCAAATCACCATTCATCACTGCCCATTAAAAAACATAACCATAGTTGTTTTCATTCCTTAAAAATAAAATTAAAAAATATATATATATATATAGTTACAATAGGAATTAAAACAGATGTTTTTCCTTATATTTCAACTCAAAAATGAAAAACCTCAAATCCAAACTTTCAATTTATTCCAACTTATAAAAAAATTGGAATTTATTTTCTTTACCTACTTCTTATCAACCAAACACATAGAATATGATCGAGCAATAAATTTCAACTAATCAATAGCATTTGATCGTGAACTCATTAAACCTAACATTCCCAAACCACAAATCATCATTCATCACTGCCCATATATAATAATAAATAAACCAATAAATAAAGAAATAAAAACTTGAGAATACAAGTGGATAGATAGATACAAATAAGTTGAAAACCTGTGAAGACAACACCGATTGAGCAGTAGAAAGAACAATCTCAAGTATATCAGATATTACTATCATAATAACAACAACAATCAAAACCCTAGAATCAAGTACGTTGACAATAATCTTAAAAGAAGTAATCAACAAAGAAAGAAAAAAACAAACCCATTTCACAGCTTAAAAAAAATCTCCAAGAATTGAATTGATACAATCAAGCTCCGTAGCTATTAACGATGAAAGATAGAACCTCAATCTCCACTCTTAGCATAAGATATTATTTTTTATTTTTTATTTTTTATTTTTTGAATATAAACAATATAAATATATATAAATTAGTCTAGAGAGATATGCAAAAGGTGTGCGTGGAGAGAGAGAATTTTATTGTTCTGACCAGCAATAAGCGGCTATTTTAAAGGCTATGTTTGGAATAATATTTTTGAGCTATTTTAGTTAAAAATAAAAATTAAAAATTAAATAAAAATAAATTAAAAAATTAATAAGATAAAATATCATATTTAAATCATAATTATTTTATTTTTTCTCTCACAAAAGTCAAAAAAGTTTAAAAACCCATCTCAAGCAAGGTTTTTTAGTCTCAGGTTAAAATGGCCAAAAAAATCAACCCACATCCCAAATGAAGGTAAAGTTAGATGCTAGGTTTAGTTTAAGGTATTTTGAAAAGTGGGTTACAAGTCACTTTTCACTTTTTAATCTACTTTATCTCTGATACAAAAAAGTTTAAAAAATTCAAAAAGTTAATTTTTAACCATCTTCTCAAAATACTTCTTTTGTCTTGGTTTTTATTTGTGTAATAATTTTGGAAAATAATTTTTCAAAAAAAAAATTAGGGTGGTTTGGTGATAAATTTATTTTTGAATGTTTTTTGTTTAAAGATTCAGGCATTAAAACATTATATCTGCAAGGATAAATACCTACAAAATGATCAAACTACCCATATATATATATATGGAAAAAGCTCCGTAGCTCGAAAGTTTTAGGCTCGAGTTGCCCGAAACTCAGTCAAAATGAGTCAAATATATGTCTGTCAATATTTTCTCTCTCCTCTCTATGTTTTACTTTCTATCTCTATCCAAAGTGAAAACCCATTGTTGCTGCTTTCATCCTCTCAGCAGAATGCTTTATGATTATCATTTTTGGTTTGTTTTCTAGTCAAAAAATGAATCATGCTTGGAACTTGGAAGATGCTAAGCCCATTAATTAACCATAAACTTAGACCATGAGTTAGTTTTAGTCTAAATTCAAAGAAGTTAGCCCCCCAACAATTAAGAACTAAGAAATTTCAAGTATTTGAATCCTTTTTGTAAATACAGCAATCGATACAAGCACAGTCCAACTAAAAAAAAATAGAGAAAATCAAAAAGAAAAACCCTTCCTTTTGTTCTTCACCAAAATCTGTACAACATAAGAAGATGATTAGAAAAGCAGAGTATAAAATAACTTCTGTATACTATTATTATCAAACTTAAATGAAAGCTTTACAATCTGAAGGAAACCCAAAAATAGAGATCTCATAAACGATGTCTGAGAACTCAAAACAAAAATAAAAGAATCAATTTCAATCCCAAAAAAAAAAGAGAAAAAAGTACAAAGTCATTGAAGAAGCTTTAGTCGATGACAATCCCTCAATTCCTCTATACTTGCATAGGTCTTCCTCCCTATCAATCCACCATTCCTCTTCTTCCCCAAATTCGCATCCTTCCAGGTAAGACATACAAAGTCATTGAAGAAACTTTAGCTTTTGTTGGGGATGTACACGATGCAAGTCGTTTTGTTTCACCTGATAATCTTTATGGTTCCAGTCCACAACCATTTGGACCTAGATCGATGCTCAGCGACGACACACAAGGCTGTTACCCGCTCCTCTCACTGTTCCGCTAAAAAGCTTTATCCCTGCTCTTATAGGTTACGAAGGAGACGGTGCCCCTCTCTTTCTATTCTCTGTTTTTTTCTTTTTCTCTTTTCAAATGAAATGTGTGGGTGTGGAAATTGAGTTGAGCACACGCACACAGCAGATAAAAAATAAAATTCAGGCCACTCAAGCCACATGGTTTCGAACTATATAGCGGAGCCGTATATATATATATATATATTGTTTCCAAACTCTAACCAAACCAAACCACTCATTCTCTCTCTCTCTCTTTCAGACCAGAGTTCCTCCACACAGCACACTCTCTCTCCTCCTCTTGCGATGACGCACTCTCTCTTTCTAACTCTTACCTACTGCCATCACCGCCTCCATTGCCAACTACCACCATAGCTACCAACTATGGCCACCACTACAGTTAGGGTTTCATGACGTCCGTCGACTATTAACTCTTTTCACGATGTCCATCGCAACTTCGCCGTGGCCAAATCTATACTGTTTAAGAAATGATTTGAGTAGACCAAATCTGGTAACAGGCCTCGTTCTCTCTTTCTCTCTCTGCTACATCCATAGCACTGCACTTAGGGTTCTTTGTCGCCAATCTCATAGTGGAATGCTGCCTCAGATCCACATAGATCTCAGATCTATGTGGTCTCTTTCGATCTCAAATATCGGATCTATTATATATGTATTGTGCAAGGCTGAAATATTCTCCACAGAGAAAAGGAGATGAGCTGTTCCTTCCTATACTCTGCAAAAAGACACCAAGCCGTCAGTGATCACTCCTGACCAAATTTGGTTGAAAGCACCCTCCGACGTTTAAGTTAGAATATTATTTAAGTATATTGTTTTATTTTTGAAGAGGAAGACTTCATTTTTTCTTTCTTGTCTCATTTCCTTTCTTTAATCTCCCTTTTTATAGTTCCAAGGTCTCGTATCTTGGTCTTCAGATAATTACCTTGATCCAAAGGCTCTACTTATTGCCAAAATCTGGTCAGGTAAGTGGTCGAGTGCTTTTCATCTATTACCGTCAAATTGTCTCACTATAGATAGCTTGGATTAGTTCGAATAATTATGGCCAACTTGCAAGTGCTTCGACCGTCGGATCTGGGTCATCAGATGGTTATATTATTTGAACGTACTAAGCCTATTCTCCTATTTCTAACAGTTATGATCTTCTCCGTTGATTACAAACATATCCAAAGGCTCTCATTCGTTCTACGGATTTTTTTTTTGGAAGACGATCTTATTCAGACTTTTGGTCATGTGATATTGTTTTCTCACCTGATAGATTTAACAAGGATTTGGGCTTTTTCCCGGTTTTGGAACCTTCGGCTGGGCCAAAGGTGTTGGCCAGACAGTCCCTTCCATAGGTTTTAGGCCAATGGTTTTATCCCTCTACATGTATGTATATATATGTATGTGTGTGTGCTTCGAATGATTGCTAGAGAAGTTTGCTGCCGACAATGACGAGATAAGAACAAGAATGAGGTATATGTGATTGTTGTTGCCGATTAGGGAAATTCATCTTAGTCTATCTCATTTCTCTCTATGTGTATTTGGTTGTGCATATTGGAAACATTTTCAACGCCATTTGCAAGCATCATTTTCATGATTACTATCGCAAAATATGATGCAGCACAACTAATGTGTAAAGTGTTGTACTTAATTTATGTTAATTTTTAAGATTAGTTGGAGAATGGAGATGTTAGATATTTGACAATGTATTCTTCGCATTAGTTTTCATATCTGTTTTTTTTTTTTTTTGTTATTGCTGTCCAACAGATCAGCCCTGTCCAGATATATATTTTTTATTTTTTGTTGTTGTTGTTGTCCAATAGTTAATATATATATATATATATTCGCCCTTGTTGATCATGAAATAGATCTGAAATGGCTCAGATCTATATAGATTTGTTGTTGAATTGTTGTAACGGTTTGATTTGGCTTGGTATTGCAATAGATATGATTTGCTTTGGTTCTACATTTCAATAGATAAGATTTGCTTTGGCTATGTATTTCAACAGATCTGAATTTTAAACAGATGGCATCTCACATAGATAAATTTTGAATAGATATAATCAAAATTTTAACAGATAGAATTTAGGGAAAAAAATAAACAGATAATAAAATTGGGATAAATAGATTTAAACAAATAAATGAAAAGATTGAATAGATAATAAAATTTAGACAGATTTTTGAATAGATAAGGCAAAAAAAATGATCAAATAGTCAAAAAATATAGATCTAAAATAATTTGAACAGATAGATAATAATTTGGAAAGATAGTCAACAAAAAGTCAACAGATAAGTTGAGTGGTAAAATTGAAACAAAATGTATTCCAAAACTAACAAAAGACTTCTCACCAAACTATTTTACAAAATGTGGTTCTCATATCAACAAAAAATATCTATTAGATCTTATGCCTTATATCCTTCTTAACTTAGACTTTTTAATAATTAACCCAAAAATTTATAAAATTTAAAAATTCGTTTAGTTATATTTTAAAAATAGTTTTAAAATTTTAGAATTTAGAATAATTAATTTTTTTATAATTAAATAGATAAATATGAGAGAAAAATTAATTAATTAATATATAAGATATAAGAGAATGAAAAAGGAAAAAAATAATAAATTAATTTTTTTTTTTCAAAAATTTTCAACCAGGACTTCATTTGGGAAGCCCAACTTGGGGTTTTTTTTGGCTATTTTAGTCACAAAAAATAAAATAAGTTTTTTAATCCAATAAAACAAAATATCACATCCAACCCATCATCATTACATTCTTTCTCTCACAAAAAAGTTAAAAAAGTAAAAAAAGACAAAAACTCTTCCCAAATCAATTTTTTTAGCCCCAGGTCAAAATAATCAAAAAAGTTAAAATGTCAACCTACTTTCCAAACAAACCCCAAATAACTTTTTATAATTTTTTCTCAAAAGTTGTAAAAGTCCACAATTTTTGACGATGGAATTGTCAGAGAAAATCGTTTGATTCACGCCCATTTTAATAATAGCACTAATGATATGGTATGAAGTAAAAAAAAAAAAAGATATATATATATATATTAAATTATTTATGAGTGGAGCTCACTGCCACATAAGTAGAGCTTTCATTAAAACTCTACTTTTAGGAGTTGCTTGGAAAATGCTAAATTAATATACTTTTAAATTTTAAAAAAATAAAAATCATAAATGTGTTTTACAGTCTCTAAACAAAGCAAAGAAATATATATATATATATATAAATGAGCTACAGTCACTTTCTACAAATAGGGAGTTACTGTAGCAAAAACTAATTTAGGGAATTGTTTATTGGAGCTGAGGGAGGTGCATAAAGGGATTTCAACCTTAAAATAAGTAAGCGGTGGGTTTAGAGGGAGAGATGAGGATGCTCTTAGGGTGTGTTTGTTTTGAAGGAATAGGGAGTGAGATTGGACTATTAGTCCCACCAGACTAATAATCTATTGTTTGTTTT